CTGTTTTTGTTCTTCCTCGCCATTCCTGTCTTCTCTTTCTTTTTTCCCTGTGGTTTGATAGCTTTCGTTGGAGTTAAGTTAAACTTTCTTTCTCATTATCTTTTGTGCACTAACAAGTTTTTGCTTTGTGGTTACCTTGAGGTTCATATATAACATCCTGTGTATATATCAGTCAATTTTAAGTTGAAGAGAATTTCAATTTGAATACATTACAAAAGTACATTTTTACTCCCTCTCTCCATGTTCTATATTTTTTGTTGTCAGATTTTCATCTTTTTATTTTATGTATCCCTTACCTAATTATTGTGGTTTTAGTTAATTTAACTTTTGTCTTTTTACCTTCATATTTACTATATATTTACTTTTCCCAATGTGATTTTTACTTTGTTATCTTTTCTCATTATTCATTAGTGCCATTTATTTCCAGCTTAAAGAAGTCCATTTAACAATTCTTGTAAGCCTGATTTAAAGGTGATAAACTCCTCTAGTTTTTGCTTATGTGGAAAACTCTTCATTTCCCCTTCACTTCTGAATGACAACCTCGCATGGTATAAAATTTCTGGTTCCAAGTTTTCTTTCAGCATGCTGAATATGTCATGTCACTCCCATCTGGCCTGCAAAGTTTCTGCTGAAAAATCTGCTGAAAGCTTTATGGGGTTTCTCTTCTATGTATCAAGTTGATTTTCTCTTGAATCTTTTAAGATATTCTTTCACTTTTGCCATTTTAACTATAATGTGCCTTGGTATGGCTCTCTTTGGATTCATCTACTTTGGATCTCTCTGGGCTTCCTGGACCTGGATGTCTGTGTTTTACCCCTAACTGGGGAAGTTTTCAGCCATTAAGTGTTCAAACATGTTTTTGGCACTTCCTCTCTCTCTACTTTCGGGTCCCTATAAAGTGAATGTTAGTATATTTGTTGTCTCAAAAGTCTCTTAAGGTATCTTAACTACTTTGAATTTTTTCTCTGCTCTGTGTGAGTTTCACTGCTTTGTCTTCCAGCTCACTGATGCATTCTTCTGCCCCATCCAGTCTGTGGAATCCCTCCCGTGTATTTTTCTGTTCAGTTATTGTGTTCTGTAACTCTGTAACTTTTCTTTGGTCATTCTTTTATTTTGTATGTCTTTGTTGCAGTTCTCCCTGAGTTCATCCATTCTTCTCTCAAGTCCAATGAACATCTGTATGACCAGTACATGGAATTCTTTATTAGGTAAATTGCTTATCTGTTTCATTAAAGATTTTTCCTGATGTTTTTTTCTTGTTCTTTCATTTGGAAAATATTCCTGTTTCCTCACTTTTGCCTTACTCTCTGGATTTGCTTCTGCATATTAGGCAAAGCAGCTCTCTCTCTCTCTCAGTCTTGAGTCACCTGTGCAGGAGATGTTCCCTGAGGCTCATAAGTGCTGACCTCCTGGGCCACCAGAGCTAGGTACTCAAAGGGCACATTCCCTGCATGAGCTGTGCACCCCTGCCTGCTGTGGTAGTGCATGGCTGTGGTGCAGGGATGAGCAAATGTTACTCCATGGGGTATATCTCTGGTGCTAACATGCTAGAGGGGAAGCTTCAAAAGGGTATGACCCCCAGCACTGGTATTATATTAGAATGTGATGCCCACCAGTGTCTCCATTCCCAGAAAGAGTCCCAACAAATTCCTGCCTCTCTTGCTGTCACTTTCAGATTAGTGAGTCTGCACATGAGCCCTGTAAAGGCAGATTACCCATTCCTTATGGTTCTATATTTTCTTAAGTGTAATCACCATTGTTTTTCAAAGTCAGGTATTTTGGGGGTTGGTCTCACCTATCCAGAATCTAGGAATTCAGTGGGATTTTTCATATCCCTCCTGTTTATGGTTCACCATGCCTGGGGTGAGGTTTTTCTTGGCAAGACCATGTCTTTATCTATTTTGATGCTGCCCTCCTTGTTGTGGAAGCATTGTTAATCCTTTTTCAGGTCTTTTGCACAGAAAATTATTTCATATGTACTTGTAAATCTGCTGAGTCCATGAGTAGGTGAGTCCAGGATCTTCTTGTGATGAAGATCTTGAACTCCTCTCTGTCATTAATTTATTTTAAAATGTTTGTTGATTGACTCCTATGACCTTCCCAAACCATCTTCAAAAAATAAGCATAAGACACACAGAAGACACCTTTCTGACTTAAATTATCTGGATTGACCAATTCAGTTGATCAAATTACTTAATGTATTTCTCTAAATGTTCTACAAATAAACTATTCACATAAACAAAATAACTCTTCAATGAAAATATATACTAGCTAGTATGTCAGGTTCTAAGAACAAAGTGATAAGTGGTATAGACTCTATCTATATGAAACTTCCCACCAATTGAAGAAGATTGATTTTAAATAGTTTATTACACATGTGGTGAATATTATAAGATGAGAAGTTCAGGGACTAAGGTAATGGAAAATGGGTGTGTTTCTAGTTTGGGGAGTGGGATACTTGAGAGGACCTCTTTGAAAACCAGGATTCCCCTGCAAAACAAACAAGTTTCATTTCTTCTCATGAAAAGAAAGAGAGAGAAAAAAAAAGTTGTTCCTTTAAATGGAAAAAATTAGGAATTTCTAATCCACAGTATGTAAAGAGCCAAAATTGATTAATTAAGCCCTTTTCCTCGTTTTCTCTACCTCCTTCCCCAAATACATACAAACCCCCAAATTTAAGACCTATGTTATTTACATTAGCCACCTTTATTGAACAAACAGCTTGCCGAATGCTCCTTCCCTAAGCGTTGTATAAACATTCATTATGCGCTGATCTCCTCAAAGCAAATAAAGCATACCAAATATTAATCTTAATGTCAATTCTTCAGAAACCAGTTATTTATTTATTGACTACAGTGTGTATTGAGTGCAAATTTTAAAATAGCCTCTGTGAGAAATAGAGCAGGACTAAATATTATTTACATAAAATCTTGGTAGCCACCATCACAGTCTCCCCCCATGCCCCAAACTCCACTACCCCAGAGGCAAAGCTGGCCATTGTCCCTATTCACAGTGTTTCACCATTTATATAAAGAACACACAATATGTGTTTCTGAGAGTCTTCATCATGTTAAGAAAGTTTATTTTAATCAGTAGTTAAGTCTTTGTTTTATAATAAGTTAAAGAAGCAGTGAGACAACACACTTGTAAAGAACACAGACTTTGGTGTCAATATAGACTGGAATCAATGCTCTGAAATTCCTAGCTTTGTGATATGGTCAGTTACTTTCACCTCTCCTGGCTTCAGCATTCAGCAATGCTGAAAGAAGATGCATGACATTAGCTATGATGTCTTCAGTTGCTCTTTGGTCTGGGTTTGGGGGCCAGGAGGTGAAATGGCAGAGAAGACTTTTCAGATCTTTTAAATGTGTGTAGATGGAAACCTTTCTCAGGGTCTCTGAAATTTGTGACAAAATAATTTTTGCTTTTATATGAGATGAATTGGCTCAGTCTTGCAACTTGGGTGAGGGAATCACGCGATAGTTCATTTCAACACCACCTTCCTATTGATTCCTCATGAAAGTCTGCTCTCCCATTTCTCCCCATACCTACATTTGCATACTAATATTTTAAATGTTTGGTGACAAATTAATAGGAATGCCAAGAAATTCAAAAGCTTTTTGGAAGCCTAATGAAATAGACATAAAAATAAAGTTCTGACCTACAGTTTTGCTACTCCTTTGTAAATCTAACATTGAGGACTGACTGGGTGGGGTCACTGACAGCTGCACATCTACACTCAGAGCCTGCCGCAGCATGCTGACATAAATCAAGGCTACTTCCTAGATGTATTTTCCACTCTACACCCGTCTGGTTTTCTCTTTAGCAAGTACATATCTGTATGTCAGATTCTTTGCCCTACACGGACTCATGCCCAAACTGTCTACCGTGGTTGCATGCACTGGCCTTGGTATTTGACATCTGCTACTGTAGGTTCAGCATTATGCAGTAAAGTCTTCCTCTGGACCACGCAGCATGCGGTAAAGAGTTTTCTGCATATGTGCCTCCATATTAATAAGGGACATCCAAGGAAACGTACACTTTGCTGTTTCCTATAAATGTTACTTATGTTCTTATTCTCTGTCTACTGATGTGTTTGAATAATAGAATTTAGATATAAGCACACTGAAGCCAAACTCCAGTTGCTCTCTGAACATAACCCAAATAGTGAAATTCATTTGCTCATGTAATGTAAACACAAAGCATGAATTTGGCCCACTATCAGAGAAGACTGCTCTCATAAAGAGAATTCCTTTGGACGTATTAAAGAGAATGGATGCATCCACTCGCCTCAGTCAGTTACCCAGTGATGTCACATTCGCTCATGGCAGGTCCCAGTCCTTAAGACTCAGAGCGAAATGACAAGGCAATTTCTAAATTACCAATGCTTCTCAAAACAGAGCCTACTGCACAGAAGCAGGGGTGATCATCATAAAAGATACTTGAAGCCTGTTCGGCTCTTCTTGGAATTTCATGTCAGCCTCCAGGAAACAGACTACAAGGGCTCCACTGGTAGGCGTCCTTCCCGACAGGAAGGCATCCTGAAGTACTTCAGACCCCTGTCTCCATTTTGTAACATTTCATCCTTTTTTTATGAACACCAATCATTATTATTTATTTTTTTGGCCCTTTAACTCTGTTTTTAATTTTCCCCTGAGGAAACTAGGATGTTTCCATAGACATAAGCAAAAATATTTAGAGGGTAACAAAGCTGTGACTTGTTCCTTAATCTTGAAGATATGTAAAATGTAACACTTTAACTCAACCTTCACAAAGTCCTCTTTATTTAATAATGTATACCTAAATTCTATAATCCATAGGGTTTCTAATGGATAACAATATTTAACCCAAGTGAATCAATTGGGTTACCTAAGCTTCTGAAACTATTTCAACAAAGCTCTGGGTAAAAGCTCAGCAGACATTGCCCAATATTTATACTATGCAGTGATTCACGGCAAGGAGCAACATTCAGTTGTAGGACGTCAGCCACTGGTGTTTACCTGTGTGTGAGCCTCCGATGACTAACGCAGACTGCAGTCTGAGAATCTTGCGCGACGCATACTTTGTGGCGACTACATTTCATCTTTAAGCATGGATCTTTAGATGGATCTAAAACTTAAGAAAAGAGAGAATGTACAGACAATATTAAGATAAGTTTCTGTAAAATGGACATATTTAGTGCCATCAAACACAATTTAATCAAGGAATTTATATAACATTTTAGTCGCAAATGGTCTTCACGTCCTTCTTCTATAAGGGATACTTCTGTTCCTACCCACATAACTCAAAGAGTTTTGTCTCACCCACTCTATTCAGAAGCTACAATACACACACCTCTATGAACAAACAATATGTAATCAAAACAGAAACTTTAAGAACAAAACATCCAACAGTTGCTACTGCCTTCCAAGCAGTAAAGGTGGAGAAATAATACTTCTGTCAGTGGAGAATTATAACTTATACTTCTGCTTTCACCAGATAGATACAGGTGGCAGAAGAAAGGATGAAACCAAAAAGATGTTAGTGAGCATTACCGAGTCTTTGGATAGCCCAGACAAGACAACCGCTGTACTAGGGGTTGACTGCGTGCAGCACGGGAAGAACTGAGATGTTGCATTTGCATATTTAAATTGCTTATGCCTGACATTTGACCCCCTATTTCTGTAAACAAAACCTGTTTTGGTGGCTGCCAACAGAAAGACTGTGATTTTTTAAAGGACAGTTTTATTGAGATGCAATTCATATAATATATAATTCATTTTTTAATGTTTAAATTCAACGGTTTTCAGAGCATTCACAGTTGTGAAAGTCTTATTATAATCAATTTTGAACATTATCACTTCAAAAAAGAAATACCTATCCCTATAGCTATCACACCTTTTTTCAACTCACTCACAGCCACTAGGACTAGGTACCCACTAATCTAACTTCTGTCTCTATAGATTTTCTATTCTGGATACTTCATATACACCATTCAATACGTATTTTTTGTGACTGGCTTCCCTCATTTGGAGAAATGTTTTCAAGGTCCAACCATGTTGTAGCACACATCACTATTCCATTCCTTTATATTGATGAGTATCCTTCCATTGTATGGACATGTCACAGTTCATCCATTCATTGTGGAAAGTTTCATTGTTCCCACCTTTTGTTTATTATGAATAATGCTGCTGTTGATAATCACTATTGGTGATGGTTTAGTGATATTCTGTTGTGATTTATTGTGTGTGGAAAGCCAGAGAGGGATTTGGTACAAATGAGGAAAAGGCACAATGTCTAGTTTGGGTACATGCCAAAATTGAGAAAGAGCCCATGGAAGATGGTGAACTGAGAGTGAAGTTCTAGTGCAGGAAAGTGGAGCCTGGGGACTATGAGAATATACCTGTGGAATACGCAGACATAAATGGGAGGGTCCTAGGCTTTTCAATGGACATAGAATGTGTATTTGAGCCAATTTTTTGTAGATCTTAAACCTAGGATAAACCAGAGCTATCATCTGGTTTACAAATCAAATGTATCTTTATGAATGTGTTAAGTCAGATATTTTTAGCCAATAATTAATGAGTATATTTTAATAATCAACGAATTCAATAAAATATACATATAAAGTACATATAAATTTCTATAAAAATGCAATGTGTGTTTTTTCAAAACTCTTATTTAACATTTTAAATAAGCATGTGATTTACAATAAATATTAACATATATAGTTGATAAAATGTTAACTAATGTATCTTATGTTATACCATAATAAAATGTTCAGTATATTAAATGCATCTATTTGGAACACAAATATTTCAATTTCCTCCATATTAAGGAAAAAAAATTTTGACAAGCACTGATTATATATTATCAACTCTTAATTATATATAATGCAACTCTTATATATAGCATCTCTTAATATATTTACTATAGCTTCTTATAATTCTCTTAGGTAGCTTCAAAGTTAAAATGAGCAGCTGTATTATTGTATTCTCCAAAAAATGTTGAATATACTTTGTTTGCTATGCAAATGCAAATTACTAGAACATTCTCAGTTAAGCTATCACAGTTTAAATTGCCCTTAATTTAAAAACTATCTCATTGAACTATTGCACATTAGAACTATATGACATCTTGGAGGACCACATATAAAGAAAAACATTCAGTAACTTAAAAGGCATTTAAAATGTTTTGACCTATTTCTAATCCTTATTCCATTTTTATTTTTAATCATTAAAATCACTTTAAATATTAATTAAAATTAAGGAATTCTGCATTTTTGTATGTATCTTTGTATGTATTAATATATGTACCATATATTCCTATGCCACATACTTATAAATATATTTAATCTCAGACATGTTATTCTGAAAAGGGAGTGTTTTCTCTTTAAATAAAAGACTACTGTACATATAAAACTATCATGGTTAATCTAATCTAATTACCTTTTGAATGCAGAAAGTTAGTAGTCATTTTCAGTCTTTTCTTCCAGTTTTCTTTACCTTACACAATCTACACTAGATAATTTTTAAAAGTTCCACGACACCTCTGACATTCCTTAGTAAATCAGAACTCAAATTTGTGTACAGCAAGAAAATTATCAGAACAAATATAACACAAGAAAGTATATTTAATGAATGTTTTGCATGAAATTCTACATAAATTATCAATTTAAAAAGTAGCATTCACCAGGAGATGAAAAATACAATAGAAAATAAATGAAAGAATCAGATACATAGGACCTACAATAAAGAACATTTTCTGCACATGTGATTTCAACCATCTGTATTTTTTAGTACAACTCACATTGTTGACAACTTAAAAACTATAAAACATCACACACTGTAAATACAGATGCCTAAGATTTTATCCTTGAAATCACAACAATAACACAACCATCTTCCTCTGGGCTGAAGCCCATGAATTAGAATCAATTTTGCATCTTAAAAGAAGCCTGGCATATTTTCACCACCTCCCTCTGTTGCTATTCTCTCCTTTCCCTCATTTCCAAATTAACATGGCCTCTTCTGTTCTGCATGGTTGCATTTCATTTCGTCTCAAGCATCCGGTACAGTCACTCCAGGAAAGTCTCAGCTGCAGTGTTTGGGTTCACATGGCCATGCATTCTCTTTCCAGCCTTTCAGAATCTTTCTGATTGATGTGAACTAACGGTGGGATCTAACTCATACTGTTTTTGTTTTGTTCTGTTTTGATTCAGAAAAAGCAGTCTGAATTTCAAACAACTGCCTTATAATTTAACTTTTGCACTCCATTTGGGATGTAGGATTTCCCTCATTCTTTCCCCAGAATCCTTGTGGTTTATAGTCCATAGTTCCCCACTTATTGCCAGACCGGGATTATCTAAGAAATACTCAGCCTGACCCAGGGGCCAGTGGCGAAAGTCTCTGAGCCAGCAGGGGTGATGAGAGTAGGAAGCAGATTTGAGTGTCAACTACTAGGTCAGAAGAAGATATCTCATTCTTGGAGAGAAGTCGCAATATAAGGGGAACTGAATGTTAAGGATGTGGGATAGGAAAACAAACACAGATCTTGATGAAAGGTTCTGACTGCCCATTGGAGCCAAGGAATCGTCACTAGTTTCATATTTAGTGCAAGCGATCTTGAAAGAAGGAGAGGCCTATAGCAGCATCATGGAGGTGCAGAAATAGGTATTGTTATTAGTATCAGGGACTGAAATAAAGATTAATAGAGAAGACTGGAACACAGTGTTTGTCCACAAGCAGCCTAGACATTCAAAAATTAAATCCTAATGGTACTAGACTAAAGCATTTTTAAATTATGCTGTGTAATATTTTTGGTAGAGTTAATGATGAGCCAGTTACCTAAGCTCAGCCAATAGCAGAGAAAGGATTTCTTAGACACTTGTCAAATGTAATATAAACTTAACCTTTCCAATACTGATTCTGATTTTTCAATGCAGTACAAATTAGTAATCTCTAAGTAGCCTATTAGGTTTGTCTATAAAATATAGAATTTGGAATAGATGATCTTCAAATTCATATTTTGCTCTGAAAATGGATTATTGCATTTTATCCTATATTTTGGCACCAGATAGCCTATATGGAATGGACTCTGGCTTGAACCTTTTACAGGAAGAGAGATACATAAATCAACAATTAGAATATATGTATAATGGTGAGTGGGGGACAATTAGAATGAGTAAAATCTCAGGCAGGTTCTGAAGCACATACAGCAAATCAAATGAAAGGAGACTCCCATACGTATAAGGAGACAGTGTGAATGGGACAAAAGGATTAAAAGGATGCGTTGTTCCTGGAAAGACAGGAAGTTCAGTATCAATGAAATATAAAATGTGCATGCTGCCTGCAAGTGTTGTGAAAGAGAAAAAACAAGAAAAAAAAACACTGAAGAGGCAGATGGAAGCTTTCTCATTTGTGGAGTGTCACCAGGCAGGTAATATCAAGCAACTGAAAGATTTTAGTTTGAAAGACAGCATCATTAGGTCTGTGTGTATGGTAAAAATGTCACTCACAAAAATTTGGCTATGCTTTAAACAATGGTTGATCAAGACAGAGAAACTAACTAAATGCTCAGGAGAGAAAGGATAAACATCTGATCTAAAAGAACTGAGTATGAAGAGGGTCAGGGGGACAGAGACCATAGAACAGAAAATAAAGATGATTTTGAGAGGCTTGGGCTCTAGTTTATTTGAACAGGTAAGAGGAGACAACACCTGAATCAAACGAACAAACTTTCAGTTCTTCTCTTCCACCATTTGTGGATTTTTTCTGATATTATTATTGCTATAACTGATTTTCTTTTGATTAGTATTTGCCTGTCTAACTTTTCCCCCAATTCTGTGATTTTTAATTCTTTATTTTTACATTTTGACAGCACTCTCAAGACCCCTTGGGTGGATTTATAAGTCCAATCTACAATTATCTCCTTTTCTGTTTTATTTATTGTGAGTTTTTTAATGTAATTGGACTCTTATCTACTACATTATTTTGTACTTTCTGTTTTTTTTTCTTTTCTTTCCTTGTTCCTGCCTCATAGTGCATTAATTGTACTCTAGGGCCTTAGAACATGTTCACCTTGAATCTTTGCTGTACAAATTCCTCCCTTGCTTTCCATGACATATGCCTCACTTC